TATCAAGCAAGTCAGTGGGTGCCATTTCCACAACAGCCTATGCTCACTTCTTGCCTCTCTGTCCTGTTTTGGTCAGCCTCAAAAGAATGAAAATGTTTTCATCGTGTCATTGGTAATTAAGAGACTAAAGTACAATATGGATATAACCTTCATTTGCACCAGGAAAACCCCCAAAATACATATGACTCACTTTACTGCAGGGCCCTGGATGCAAACCTGAAATATCACTGAGGCATGTCTGTGCAGGAAATGCAAGGCTTTAACCCAGTTTTATAGAGGAGAAAAGAATCTCGGAAGGTGAATGAGCATCATGGAGGCAGGAGGGAGGGGAGGTGCTTAAATGTATAAAGATTACATTTTAATGAGGGCGTCTTAGGCATTCCCAAAGGGAAGATACGGGTAGTGAGCTTCTATGCACTGAAGAGAGACGAGGGGAGGGAAAGTGGCCCAGAGCTCAGATTCAAAAGTCAGCTGCACCTCTTACTGGCTGAGAGACATTGGACAATTACTTCACCACCCCAAGCCTCAGTTTCTTCTTCTGTAAAACAGGCATGATCATGGTGCCTCCACGTGAAAGGCTGGAATGGATAATCCAATGGTGCAATAAAGTAAAAGGGCTTTGGAGAAGCCAGCATCCACGTGACCTCCAGGTCCTCAGGAATGAGAAGGAACTAGAGAGGCAGCAGGGCCACCCTCTAAGGCTAAGAACACGGGCCCCTTGTCCAGAGGGTCCTGCCTTGCCTCTGTCTCGGCTCCCCTCTGTACCAAGTGCCACGACACAGTTCACACAGAGACTGGGTATAGGAAGCTCATAACTAGCACACCATATCAGGTAACAATCATTTCGTCTCTCCAAGCCTCAGTCTCCCCATCTGTAAAATGGGGATCATGAAGATTAAAGAAACTAATAGATGCCTAGAGAGCTCTGGTGGTGTAGTCCGTAGGGAGTTGTGCTGCTAACCCAAAGGCCATACATTTAGTTTGATTTGGGAGTTCAAATCTACCAGCAGCTATGTGGGAGAAAGATGGATAATCCCCAGCGTGATTTATAGCCTCAGAAAGCGGCTGGAGGGTCAGCTATGAGTTGGTTCCAATGCAATGGCAATGAGGAGAATAATAACGGATGCCTGGCACACGGTGAGTCCCAGAAAATCACAGTGAGCATGCGCATTGCTGTCTTTGCTGCTGTCGGTGGGTGACTCCTGCCTCCTCCTATCTGCCCTGGTCCCACTCAGTGAGCCCCCACCCTCTCCGCCCTTGCCTTTACCTCCAACCACTGAGACAGAGAACACAAACTGGGTGAAAGGGAACACCTCTCTTTGTCCTGGATTGAGTCTTGTTTCAGGTCTTTGGGGCTGATCATTAACCAGTTCCTGCCCTCTGATCCCACCGCTTGCCCCGGCCCCCCCAGGGCCTGCACCTCCTGACTCTGGACAGCCCTGGGGGAAGGCTGGAGTGACCTTACAGCAGACTACATGTGACCATTGGCAGAAAGACTCTCCTCCTCCTCTCTGGTCCTTCATGCTTTTAAATTTGGAATATTTTTTTTCCTACTAGATGGTACAAGCTTGGAAGGAGGAGTGGCAGCCACTTCCGTAATAGCTCGCCTCCGGAAACCCTATGAACCTGGAGAGAGGATGAAAGGCACGCAAGTGTTGAGGACTCTCCTTCATAGGGTCGCGATGAGTCGCCTGCGACTCGACGGCACTTAACAACAACAACAACTAGATGGTACTACAAAACAACCTTGTGTGTGAGACAGAATTAAAAACAAGCTGAGAGGACGGACTCTGAAGTCAGTCAGCCTGGATCCAAAATCCCAGCGCTTCATGCCATCACAGAGTAAACACTGCAGATTCTATCTAGGCAGATAAAACAGAAGAGCTGGACGGAGATGGGTCAGACCAGAAAGACATCCAGGCGCGTGGAGTGGAAACGGCCATGCCATCAGACAATGAAAGGGTTGCATTCTTGTACCGTTGGGACAGGAACGGAAGATTGTGAATTTCACAGCTGGGTGGAAGAAGATCAGGGAGGCTAAAGGCAGGATATCTAGAAGAGAATTTAACAGGGCGGGCAGGTTCCTAACACCTATTGGTTACAGGCGTCTGTCATTCAGCGTATGACAGTGTGGTCCCAGGATAGCAACAAGACAGGTTTTTCTGGTAACTAAATCCTATAATTGTATCCTCAACCATGTGTGTTCCAGGAGGTGCGTTGTGAAGATCTGCAATAACGCTGCATGCCGGCCCTCGGAGTGAAAGCTATTGTGTCTTGCATCTGATTGACTATAATGAAGAAGACCATTTGGGAGCAAACTTATAATGTCCTACTCGTACCAGACCTCAGAGAAAAAGAATGTCACCATCAGGGAATATGGCAAGTCATCAGCAAGGCAAGAGTAATGGCCTTTTGGAAAGGCAGCTTTTTTAAAAAAAAACAACCAACATGGATTCTAGATCCATAGCAAGACTTACAAAAACAGTTTGAAAAGGTCTCACTTCCATCCTATTCCATGTTCACCTAGAAAGTGCCTCTGAGTGTAAACACTCACACGATGGGCATAAGGTTGAATTGTGTCCCCTAAAATATGTGTCAGCTTGGCTCGGTCACGGTTTGTTAGGCGATGATCCTATGCGTTGATGATCCTGTCCTCACATCTATGATGTTGTTTGGCAAAGTGGAGAATCATCGAAAGAGAGGAAGTTCCTTAGTAAGACCATGAACATAGGGAGGACAGGACAAGTCTCGATGGACTCAATGGCGCCTAATGACCGCTCCCTCAAAAATCCATTGCTGTTACCAATTCATTGCTGAACCAACTCATAGTTGACCCTCCATGGGGTTTTCGGGGCACTAGGAGGGTTTTCAGTCACACAGAGGGGATTGTCCATCTTTCTCCAAAGAGCAATTGCTAGATTTGAATGTTCTACCTTTGAGTCGACAGCACAACTCCCTACCACTAGGCCACCAGAGCTCCCTGCAACAACATGATGTTAATAAGGCAGGATTAGAGGTAATTGTGTAACACTGTCATCATCCCCATGGTGTGATCTGATGGAATCAGCAAACCAGTTGGAAGAAGATTAGAATGAGATGCAGCATCTTAGTCAGGCCACAGCTCTCACCAGACATAAGGGAAGTGTCTTTGGGGTGTGGCCTATATTATCTTTTGTCTTATAAGAGATAAAAGCAAAGAGAAGTGAGCAGAAAACCTCTGTACCACCAAGAAAGAAGAGCTGAGAGTGAGGAGTCCTTTGGACCCAGGTCTCTAAACTGGGAACCTCCTAGGGTCAGAAGGAAGTCAGTGAGAAAGCTATCCTCCAAAGCCAACAACATGGATCCAGACATCCGGCCTCCAAAATGGCAAGAGAATGAACTTGACTTCTTAAGAGAGAATGAGAGATGACTTGTTAAAAGCCATTCACTTGCAATACTTCCGTTATGGCAGCACTAAATAACTAAGGGTCAACAATGACCCATGGACAATGAGTTTTGATGTGAAAGAAGAAATGAAACATTCCTTTCAGTGTTCACAAATAAAGTTTTATTGGAATATCACCACATCCATTCATGTATGGAGTGGGATCCACTTCCTAAAAAACATGCTTCTGGAAACTCTATGAACTTTGATAAATACTGATAGTTATAAAAAGGCTTCAGGCCTTTTGTTCACAGGGCTGCTATTATGTCATGCTCGACTCGAAGCAATTAATAACAACAATCCCTCATGTGTGTGTTGTGTGGGGTTGCTTTCTTGTTGTAAGAGCAGAGGGCCTGGTTAGACGCCATTGAGTCAATTCTGACTATAGCAACCTACAGGGCAGAGTAGAACTAGAAAATTAAGCTTTCTATTCTGTACTCCTTATAGGAGTAACTAGATTGCGTCATCTTTCTCATGAGGAGGTGCTGGGTGAGTTCACCTTTGGTTAGCAGCTCAGCACCTAACTAAATCAGAGCACATCACCAAAAAAGTACACAGGCCTTGCAAAAGAGCCTGCCTGGCCTGCAAAGCTTGAAATCATCAACCGCTGGTATCATAAAGTGACATCACACAGTCTGTTTAACTAAAAGCATAAAAGATTTATTGAGGCAGAGCGACGATCCTGACCAGGGAAATGCCCAGAGACACAGAGTGACAGTGGAGAAGAATTCAATTTTATACGGTTGGAGCAGCAACTAACTAAAGTGAGAAAATTCATAACTCAAAGACCCTCAGAGGAGTTAAATGTGAACCAGACAGAAGTGAGAATTTGGCAGGGATGGGTGATTGATAAGGATTCCTGGTGGGGTAGTTGTTTATGTTTTGTGCTGCTAACTGGAAGGTCAGCAGTTCAAACCCATCAGCAGATCTTTGGGAGAAAGATGGGCATCTCTTTGTGTCAAGGTTTAAAGTTTTAGAAGGCTCAGCATGACTTAGAATCAACTCAACAGCCATGTTTTAAGGTGAAAAACATGTAATTTGGAGCGCAGGATTGGTCAAAGGTGCATGCCATCTGGTTTATTAGGTGACAGTAGAGTGGAGACAGGACATTTTTTTCTGATAGTCTATTTATATAATAGCTTCCTCAATCCTGTCTGCTTTCGGTGTCCCTTATCAAGATTTATAGACAATACTATCCATCAAGAGCCTTCCTTTAGTCATTCTCTTAGCACAAGTTTCAGAAAAGTGTGAGACAGAGCTTTAAAGAAATAACACCAGGGAAACACACTCTCCTTAGAACAATCAGGCATACAAGATCACCAGAGCAGAAATAATGAGAATCTTGACACAACACGAAGAATATGGTCAACGTCACTGAAGGATATGTGCAGAAACTGCTAACCCGAAGCACGCTACTAGGAGTTTCTTTTCACCCAAAATGAAATCAAATGAAGAAAGAAGAGCGTGTGGCACGCAGTGGGTTAGGCCCTGTCCCCTTGCACTTCCTTCCCCTCCCTCTGAACACCTCTCTCCTCCACACGCGTGGCGCTGCCTCCTGTCCGAGGCACAGCCTCACCTGCGTTCTCGTCACTCTCCCTGTTGGGGTCTTTCCGAGCCTCCCTCTGGCCAAAGAGACTCTTGAGGATGGCGCTGGCGATGGGCAGCATCATGGCGGTGGAGGCGGTGTTGCTCAGCCACATGGACAGGAAGGAGGTGGTCATCATCATGCCCAAAATGAGCCTGTGTAGCACAGCGAGTCAGAGACAGCTGCTCGACGGAACCCACACGCCTGGGGTTTGGGTTTGGATTTTTTAAATCTTTTTTTTTAATTAATTTTAATGAACATTTACGAAGACTTTAGATTTCCATTCATTCATTGTTGCACTTTTCTCCCTGCCCACTCCTTGCCCCCAGTTCACTCTTCTCTTTGAAAAGTAAAAGTTCCCCCATTGTTTTACAATCCCTCCCCCCAGGTCCACTCCACTGCGCAGCCTTCATTCTGAACTCCTATCATGACAATAATACCTAGTCACATATCCCTTTTAAACAGTTTTCTCCCTCATCTGTTTCAATGCAGTATACATTGTTGAACCCATTTTTCTCAGTCTCCCCCCAACCCTGATGTCAGTCCTGTTTTATAACAGTGGCACCATGCAGTATTTGTCCGTTTGTGACTGAGATACTTCACTCAGCATAATGTCCTCCATTGTCACCCATTTTGAATAATATTGCATGGGCTCCTTGTTTTTCAGTGCAGCATACTATTCTATTGTGTGAATATACCACAGCTTCTCTATCCATTTGTTTATTGATGGGCACTTAGGTTGTTTCCAACTCCTTACTATCATGAACAAAGCTGTGATGAACATGGGTGTGCACCCACCTGGTTTTTAAATAATGTTTTATTCTCGTCATGTTCCTTTAGAGGCCTAGAGAGGGTGAACCAATGGAAGAGCTTGGACCACGCCCACTTACCAGGTTTATTTTATAAGCAAGGAGGCCATGGCTCAGTACGTTCAAATGACTTTATTACAGACAGCTCAAGTCCAAAATTCTCCCTCCTTTGTCCCCCAAGCCTAAAGATTCCCATTTCAGAATAAATCTACCTTAGTTTGACGTTAGTACTCATTACCATCTTTCCTTAAACAGCATCCATTCTCCTTTCCCACTCCCCTCTCCCCGCCCCTGACACCCACACCCCACCCCAATAAACCATGCTGAGCTGCTTATTATCCAACAAATGTGTCTGAAATCTTCCTGCTTGATCTGTTCCCCCAATGGAAATCTGAACTTCATCATTTCTTTACATTGGACTTTTTTCTTTCACACGCAATTTATTTAGATCTATACATGAACTGGTGGTCTAGTGGCAAGACGCTGCACTGCAGTCCTGAAGGCACACAGTTTGAATCCACCAGCTGCTCTGCAGGAGAAGGATGGGAAATCTCCTCCCGTGAGATTAACTGCCTCTGAAAACCTCTGGAGGGTCAGCTGTGGGTCAGTTCGGACTTGACGGTACACAACAACAATATGAAATAAGATCGAAATAGATTTCTTTTTCTTACAAAGAATACTTCAACATCCACTGTATTTATATATATGTGCGTGTGTGTGTGTGTGTGTGTGTGTGTATTTATACGTATATATACTCTTTCTTTCCCTACTGATTTGGCTTTCTTCAGGAGCCCAGGTGATACAGTGGTTAAGTGTTCAACTCAGCTACTAACTGAAAAGTCAATGGTTCAAACCCACCAACTGGAGAAAGAGGTAGCAGTTTGTTTCTATAAAGATTAAAACCTTGGAACCCTCCTGGGGCAGTTCTTCTAGACTATTTAATGTGTCTTATTTTTAAAATCAGCTTCTATTACTAGTGCTATACTGTTTTAATTGTTGTAGATTTAGAATGTATTTGAAGCAGCCCCACCCATTCTTGAGGGCCCAGCTCAAATTAGATATCCTTTGTGAGGTCTTCCTCTGTCTCTTACATGGGTTCCCACTGTGTGCTGTTCTCCTTGGATATACAGCTCTGTTTTGCATTGGATTGTGTAGGTGGAGCCCCTCCCACAAGACTGAGGATACCTCTCGAGGAACCAGCTGTACAGAGCTTAGCAGAGTGCTTGGTACAACAGAATAGATGCCAGAAGCCTTGGAGATGTCTAGAACCCTCTTCTCCCTCCCCACATCCTTCCTCATCCTCCATCAAATCCATTGATTTTATCAAGTGTATCCATTCTGGCCCTTCCCGCTGCTACTATCTTTGTCTAAATGGATAACTATCAATTGTTTGGACTCCTAAACCAGCCAATCCAGAATTTTATCCTCATCTCTTCTCCCCAAGGTAGCTAACAGGAATCCCTTAAAAATATATTACTGGTCATGCCACTTCCTGGCTTAATGTTCTTTAAAGCAGAGACAGTGAGTGGAGTGTACTCGGGGCAGGAGGGAGGGGCAGGGGGATTGTATACCAGTGAAGGAATTTTTCTTTCACTTTTCAAAGAGAAGAGCAAACTGGGGGGGGGGGGCAGGGAGAAAAGTGCAACAATAAATGAATGGAAATCCAAAATCTCTATAAATGTTCTTTAAAATTAATAAAATAAAATAATTAAAAAACCCCAGAGACTATGAACAAGGGTTCATAGAATATAATTCTACTGAATTCTCACTCAAAACTCATCGCCATCAAGTCAGAACTGACTGATAGTGTCCCTCCATTGGGGTTTCTGAGGCTCTAAATGTCTTAAAAGGAGATTGCCCACGTTTCCCCTTTGGAGCAACTGGTGGATTAAAACCACTAGAGAGGTGTGGCCTTTGAATTAACAATGCAACTCCCTATGGATTACACCACCCCAGGGCTCCCTTAATTCAGCACTGGGATTAGGAAAAATTATGTCTTTATTTTACCAACATCTCACCGCTGGACCAAATGGCAGCATCAGGATGGATGGTGAAGAGATTGAGATTGTTCTCAGCTTTAGTTTGCTCGGCTCCACAGTCAATACTCCTGGCACCAGTAGCCAGGAAATTAAAAGACGTATTGCCATGGGAAAGTCTGCTGTTAGGGACCTCTCCAAAGTACTGAAGAGCAATGGCATCTCTCTGGAGACTAAGGTGCGTCTGATACAGGCCATGGTCTTTGCTATCACTTGCTATGCATCAGAGAGTTGACAGTGACTAAGGAGGATAAAAGGAGAATTGATTGAGTTGTGGTGCTGGAGAAGAGTATTGAGGGTACCATGGACTGCTAGGAAAACAGATTCATCCTGGAAAGGGTCAAACCAGGTGGTTCCTTGGAGGCAAGGATTCTGAGGCTCCATCTAACATACTTTGGACATGTTGTAAGGAGGGACCGGTACTTGGAAAGGGACAACATGCTTGGGAGGGTGGAGGGACAGCGCAGGAGGGGAAGGCCTTCTATGAGGTGGATTGATTCAGTGACTTGGGTAATCAGGATGGGCGTGTCGGAGACAGTACGATTGGCACAGGACAGAGCAGAGTTTAGGGCTGTTGTACATAGGGTCGCTATGAGTTGCAAGCAACTCGACGGCACATAATAACAGTAACAACAACAATTTTGCATTTCTCAGTGGTAAGCATAGGCACTAAAGTTCAGTAGTATTAGCAATGTCTGATATTTCAACATCAATAAAAATAATATTTTCGTGCTCGCTTTGGCAGCACATATACTAAAAAAAAATTGGAACGATACAGAGAAGATTAGCATGGCCCCTGTGCAAGGATGACACGTAAATTCGTGAAGCGTTCCATATTTAAAAAAAAAAAGAAAAAAGATAATATTTTCATACCATATTAGAACAGTTGAAGACATGTTAAAACATTACTGTTATGTGTCACAGCCTCAATGGTTGGTTGTTCTTTATCTCATTGCTAGATCATGTTGTTACCACACTAATAAAGGACCACATAGGTCCCATGTCCCAAATTTGAGGATGGGAGAAAGAATTATCCAAATATTTGGATATCCTGATCAAAAGGGGGGAAATGCAAAACAGAATTTTAAATTCTTGTAGAATCCAGATTTTTTTGGTGCCATTAGAGCCAAATAAACTCCTGAAACTATTACCCTGAGATAATCTCAAAACTTTAAGCCAAAAGTATCCCATGAAGCCTTGTTTAAACAAAAAACAGTATATTAGTTTAACTAGTAAAGAATGTCTGCCTTGAACATTGTGCCGTCTTAAGAACTTTCTATATCTGGGACCAAGTTGATGACAGTAACTTGGTTTAACAACTCCGTGAAGAACTCTTACTATTGCTTTTTTAAACAGGCACAGAATGGGCAGTGAGAAAGGAAGTGATTTTCCAGAGTAGGCAGGTTGAGGTTCAGCCCCCAGTGGTCTGAGTCATACTGTTACACACAAAAAAGAAGCAGATTCTGTCCTCAGTGGTGCAAATTGTTCATATTCAACTACCAACCTAAAGGTTAGTGGTTTGAGGCCACTCACACCTGGCGATCTGCTTCCCTAAGGATTGTTGTTTGTTGTGGTGGTGATGGTGGTGGTGTATCGTCAAGTCAGAACCGACCTGTAGCTGACCCTCTGGCACATTTTCAGAGGCAGTTAACTGTACGAGAGGAGATTGCCCAACCTCTTCCCACGGAGCAGATGGTGGATTTGAACTGTGTGCCTTCAGGATTGCAGAACAGCTTCTTGCCACTAGGCCACCCAAGAAAACCTTATAGAGCAGGGCTGCTCTCTGACACACGGGTTTCTCATAAGTGAAATCCACTTAATGGCAATGAGTTTCCACCCCTCCAGAACTACTGAAATGTGACCTAACTGAACTCTGCTGCTTTGGAAGCACCTGGGAGTGAGCGTTTTAAACCGGCTTCCCAGGTGCTTCTTATGAACCTTGGAGACTTGCCCAAGGGCTGTGGCAAATCGAAGGGGCTCAGTAAGTATCTGGGGAATGAGCAAGTGAAGGAATGGTGAGCAACGGCGCCTTCTCTGGCCCGGATAACTCAGCCAAGTCCTGGGCCGCTGAGAATGGGACTCTGCCGCCACTCTTCAGGTGTGAACTGTCCCCTGGTCCACCTTACCTGGCTGGCTGGATTCCAACAAACATGAGGACCTTGAGGGCGATGCGCCGGTGCAGATTCCACTCCTCGATGGCACTGGCCATGATCAGGCCGCTGAGGAAGAGGAAGTTGGTGTCCATGAAGTACTGGGAGCAGACCTTGTTGGAGGGCAGGATACCCATGAAGGGGAAGAAGATGATGGGTAGCAGCGCTGTCACCGAGATGGGCAGGGCCTCCACGCACCAGTACACGACCATGAGCAGGATGACGTACAGGCAGCGGCCCTCCTACGATGGAGAGACACTAAGAAGGTCAGCAGAACGGGGCGGGGGATGGGGTTCAGAAGCCCTGGGGGAGGGGATGTCAAGGCAGGCTCCCCAGTGAGGCATCAGAGTGTGCGAGTACCCAAGGCTTTGCTGTGAGGTAGGTGGGCTCACCTTTCTGAGCTTCACGTGGAAACTATTGCTGCCCACCTCATGGGACTATTTGAAGATTAGGTTAAATAATGTGTTATCTCAGAAGTAGACCTTGGGCTTTTTATTGTTAAGTACTCCAGCAAGTTTTCAGAGGCAGTAAATGGCATGGGAGGAGATTCCCATCTTTCTTCCATAAAGCAGTTGGTGGATTCGAACCGTGTGCCTCTGGGTTAGCAGTGCAGCCCCTTACCACTAAGGGAAGGAGAGTCGGGAAATGAGGAGAAAGAAGCCAACACAAATGCAGTTTAGTCCCTGACCGACACAGGACAGAGTTCCCTTCCGAAGACTACTCCACTGAAAATTGGTTCTGACAGAAATCAAATATTGTATTTTTCAGAAATCTTCAGGACGTGAAGACACAGTATCTGTGAAATGCAATGAAGTGAAGCCCAGTGAAATGAGGTATGTCTGTATATACCTGCTTACTAAATAAGACGATAATGCCTGTATATACTCGCAGGAGAAGGATGGGCAGTCTCCTCCCCTGCCGTTTACTGCCTCTGAAAATCCGCTAGAGGATCAGCTATGAGCTGGTTCTGACTTGACGGTACACACAACAACAACATACCTGCTAGTGGCCTAGTGGTAAGAGGCTGCACGCAGTCCCAAAGGCACACAGTTCAAATCCATCAGCTGCTCCATGGGGGAGGGATAGGAAAGTTCCTCCTGTGTGCTTCTCTGCCTCTGAAAACCTGCTGGAGGGTCAGCTATGAGTCAGTTCTAACTCGACGGTACACAACAACAACAGTGGCAATGCCTTCCCCTCTGACGCGCCATGTCCCACGAGGGCTAGAACAAAAGGCATCTGACTGTCCCGTGGTCACTTGTGACCAGAGCTTCTCACTGCTCTGGCTTCACATTCTTGTCGTCTTTTACTGCCATGACCTCGCACGGCCCAGTGACCACGGACTCTTTCTTGGATTTGGTGCGGTCTCTCTGGCAGCATTTCCTTTTTCTTAGTCAGGGTCAGTTTGGTTACAATATTCAGCGCCCACTGGACCTGCTCTGTTCAATATTTCATTGGACTGAGCATTATTCTTGCAAGCTCCACCCTCGTAGGACATAAATGGCTATACATGGGACGTACATTGATATTCAGAGAACTCTGTGACGGGTGACTATGCATAGCCGGGGATGGGGAGGGCAGTGACACGACAGCAGTAATAATCCAAGTGAAAGCCACTGTCGCCTTGAGTCCAGGTGGAAGTGGTGACAGTGCTGAGAAGGGCTTGGATTCTGGACCACTTTCCAAGGTAGGTCATTGATTTGCATCCACCAGCTTCTCCCAGAGAGAAAGATGGGCAGTTCTCCCGTGAAGGTTTACAGCCTTGGCCTTGGCATCAACACTACAGCAGTGTGTGTGGTGGTCCCGAGGTGGAGCCCAAGAACCCTGCTGCTGTGTCTGCTGTGGCATCCGAGGCAAAGAAAGACGTGAAGGGCAAGTTCACAGTTGTTAGCTCAGCAGAAGGAAGAATAAACTGGCTGTTTCCTAAGATGGGGAAGATTGGGAGCGACGCCCATATTCATTCCCACACCTCGGAAAACACATTCTGAGGCCCTAAAAGGGAGAATTTCCATATAACAAAGTCCTATTAAGGAACCTTTGAGGATGTAGCATTTTAAGTGTTTGACTGCTGACCTCAAGGTTGATGGTTTGAATGCACCCAAGGGCTCTGTGGGAGAAAGGTCTGAAATGACTAAACTCACTGCTATGCAGCTGGTCCCATTGCCTAGTGACCCTCCACTGGGTTTCCAAGGCCGCCAATCAGAATGCAGGGGGCCTGCCCATCTTTCTCCCTCCGAGCCAATGGTGGGTTCAGAACACTGGAGACACGCAGCCTTTGTGTTAGCAGAGAAACTCCTTATGGATAATCCCACCCCAGAAAGCTGTCCTCTGGCGCAGAGTCATGATGCTGGTGGTGGCGGGGTGTGACATCAAGTTGGAATGGACTCGTAGCTCACTCGCCATCAGATTTTCAGAGTCAAATAAATCACATGGAGGGAGATTGCCCATCTTTCTTCTGAAGAGCAGCTGGCGGGTTCAAACCCCGTGCCTTAGGGTTGGAAGCACACATCCTTATCACCAGGCCACCAGGGCTCCCCAGGATGAATCAGAATCGATTCAACACACTCAGGAAACACAGAAATCCTACTTAGTTTTTACATGAGTGTTACTGTTCATTCATGACATTTACAGATGTACGGTCTCCAGCAAGGGGAATCTCTGGAGGGCAAATCCTATTTGCCTGTTGCCTTAAGATAGATTTTTCTGTAGAGAGGAAACGAGAGTCTCAGAAGTAATACAGTCAATTATTCTCTAGAATATTTGAAATTACATGTTAGAAGCGGGAAGAACGATTGTGAAACACATCTTAAAATGGAATTCCAAAAAGCCAGGTTGTATGACAAACCCTTGAAAGATAGGAAGCGAAAGTAATAATATATAATCAAATCTCACACATAAAAATTCCCTACAGTTTTGATTTCTCATTATCTTTCCTGCTTCCTAAACCAGACAGATGTTCTTACACACGAAGGATGAGATACTTGGAAAATCCCAGAGCAACAGCCTAGAAATATTTTCAACTCTTGGCCCTTTAGCCAAGGAAAATTGCACATTAAATGACACTATAGAAAACAGACAGACCCTGAATGTTAAAAAAAGTTCATGAGAGCTTTTCTGGGAGAACAGGGAGCTCTGGAGGCCTAGTGGGTAAGGATTTGTGCTGCCATCCCAAAGGCAGGCAGTTCAAATCCACAGGAGAAAGATGGGCAGTTTTCACCTGTGTCATTTACAGCCTCTGGAAACTCACAGGAGGGTCAGATATGAGTCGGCTGTGACTCACTAACAGTGAGTTTGAGGGTTTCCTGTCATCTTTTTCTGGCAGGAGTGGGTGGGCAGCAGTCCACAAGAGCCATCTACCTTTTCTCTCTTTTGTCTGTGTTGGTAAACCCTAATATCTCCGGAAAAGTAAGAACTCAATAGAAGAGAACCCACCCTAGTGTTTCTTTCCCTGACATTATAGACGTGTAGCTTGAAGGAGAAGAGGCTTGTGAAGTCTTGACAATAGGTAAGGATCAGAGCTATTTCTAGAACCCCCCATGTGGGACCCCTCAAGCAGCACTAAATCTTTCATGAGAAAATTCGTCTGAGCCTCAACAGGTGATGGGAGACAAAAGCATCATGGAAGTTGCCACAGAAGCAGAGGACAGCCCCCCACACACACTCCACCCCCCAGCATTCCCAGTACAGCAAACAAAGACGTGGGGAGGCACTAATACGACACACAGCTCTCCATTGATAGAAGTGCTTGGGATCCTGACGCTCTGCTAGGGAACTTTAGGAGGCCACTGGGGGGATCCAGGGCATCCAGTAGTCTAGGCCGAGAGAAGTGGATTTGATCAAGGCCCACTCCGCCTTCTCAGGACTGGGGACACGTGAGGCTGCAGAAGGACTGGATGTCACTGTCCATCACACAACTCACAGTGGTGAAACTTGCCTGGGGACACATGGTTCTCAAGTTATTCAGCCAGGTTTTAAGCAAAAGAAGTCAGACTCTCGGACAGTGATGTGGCACAGGTCTGACACATCTGTCTACACAGCTTCTAATGTTTCTTATTTTCTGCTCCACTAAATACAAGCTCTAAAAGGCAGAGATTGGGTCTCCAGAGGCAAAAAAATCAAGCCTGGCACATAGTAGATGCTCAATAAATATTTGTTGGATGCTTCAATGACCAAGACACAGTTATCTGACTTAGAGGCAGGGCTAAAATTTTCTCTGTTCATTCATTCAAAGTTATTTCTGACCACAAGCTAAGGCCTGGACTGAGATCACGAAAGTGAACCCCAGACAGTCCTTGAATTTTGATAAGTGAATTTGACCATGTCAATTGAAAAAAAAAGAAGAAGCTGCTCTCTAATGTCAGGTCAGGTGACCTTCAGATTTGAGTGATTTTAACTGAACCCCACCCACCAAGCAGCATATTCCACAAGCAAAGCAATGCTGGTAGATATTGAACAACTGATTCTCTGAAAAGAATGGGTATCTCTGTATTGAACATCATCTCTCAGAGGTCCTTATTGCGATGAGTACCAGTTGTCCCCCATAGTAACCGCTTTCTTAACACTCTTGCATGAGCTGTGGCTTCATTATCCCAATGAATTCCCACTAGATCGATTGTTGTCCTAGGTTCTTTGTCCGGAGAACCAACCCAAGAGTCTTCTCAAAGACTGAGCCATTGCTCGGAGCTGGGATACGAGAGGCAGTTGCCACAGAGAAGAAGAGGAACGACTTTCTTCTCTCTGCTGGAAGATTTGGTCTCTGAGTTAAAAAGAAGGGTCTTGACCTCCAATTGGATTTAGTAGAAAGGCAATTTGCCCAAAGCCACACAATTGGTAAATGGTGGCTCTGAGGTTCAAGTTTAGGTGGTGGGGCTCTAGACCAGGTTCAGTGGCCTTTCACAGAATGCCAAGGTAGGTCAACTGGAAAGAGAAAGAAGGAAGACATGGATGTCTGTGGGACTGAAGAGAACTGCCCTGTGGGTTTTCCAGGCTGGTCACTGCCTATTCTTTCTTTCAAGTGGTTTTGAACTGTGTCCTTCAGTTAGTAACTGAGTATTGAACCATCGTGCCACCAGGCCCCTTATACATGGTATGAAAAGAGGATATGCATTATTACATTCTGGCTGCAAGTGTTGTCTCTGGAAGCCTCTGAGCCCAGGCCTTTGCACTGGTCTCCACTGCCCCCTCCCTCTCCTTCCTGTCAGCTTTGAGGTGGGGCATCAGTCCTTCCCGGGCGACCCCTTCTAGA